TGTGATCTTTCAGTCGCTCTTCCCCCCCCCCACAGTGACAGCCGACAGAAAAGACCCCCCAGGACTGTCCGACCACTGGAAGCGGTCTGGCTTGGCCTCTTGGTGGACGTTTTTAGGCTTAAATCCTTATCTAAAAGTGTCATTCTGGTAACCCAATGGTCTTTTATCACAAACTGGCCACAAAAAAAAGAGATGTCAAAAGCCTTATTATAAAACCACAATAAAAACACTGTCAATCGCTGGACAGGGCAAGGCCATGAGAGAATCTGCCCACATGCATCGTACCACTCATCAATGGCAAGTACACCTTCGGCACTCTGTTACAGCTGGTAAAAACCATAAAACCTCAAACTAATTCATCAACTTAGCTGACCTCTCAGCACTAATGTCCTCCTGCACGGACACAGACTGTCATTTCTGTTTACCTCTGATTTTCAATGCTCCGGCTGCGAGCACAAGCTCTAGCGACCCGAGAGACTGCCTCTGTTTTTCTCCTCTTCCTCCAAAGACCCCCAACACCGCTGCCTTCTCGCCAACCGGCCAGTCAGGTGCCTTAACTACCCAGGTCCTTCACACACATCAGAGGTGGCAGAGCAACAGCAATATTGCAATCACGTTGGAAAACCCTGCAGTCTTGCAATCATGGGGGGGTGGACTGCTTTCATATGGGAAAACACACAGTGCATCAAGAAGCTTCTACCTTGGATTTATTTTAAAATGCTCAGGTGTGATAAGAAGCGACCGGGCCATGGGACAGAGGACTGAGATAAAATGGGAAACGCCACTTGGCCCATGTTCTGTGCCAGAGCTGTAACAACACAGCCCTTTCCCCTTATTCGCCAGCAGCTCGTATCTCAGTCCAGCTCCCCCAGGGAGAGAGAGAGAGCCTGATGCTGTCATCACGTCTCCAAGGCAAGAGTAAGGAAGAAGGAAGAAGTAGCCGACAGAGAGCTCTGTCAAACAAGGCCAAGTTTGTTCATGGACATTCCAGAGTCTGAGAGAGCACAGGCGACACGCTGCTCAGGTGATACCAGCCTCCCCCAGTCCGCTGCTGCTCAGAGACGTGATGACGGCAGAGGCTAGGGGCAGCCCGAGACCACCCCCCCCCCACCTCACCAGCAGGACCCCCACTGCACTGACACGCTGGGCAAGCCCGCCCTCTCTGACTTCCCCATTGCACACATCACCTGGCTAGTTATTTCTCAACAGCCGCTGTGTCTGTCTCAGGAAACTAAGCCTGATGGGCGCTGGGGGCTGAGGAGCTATAGACAGAGCGTCTGGGGACAGAACCAGGCCTTGGGGATCCCCAGGGCGCTTCCCTCATTAATCTCAGGGCTGCATCTTCATGGCAACCAAGTCCGGTGGTGCACAGGTGTGCACTCTCGTTGTGTATTGACAGAGGCCACTCAAGAGGCCTGTTAAAAGACAACGTGAGCTCCCACTTGGAGGTTGGGATCTGTGAAATCTGAGCGTCTAGGGACAGCAAGAACAGGTGGGAAAAAAAGGGCATACAAGCCTCCGTTCATGGTGGAGGTATTTCTTTCCCAGCTCTGCAGGGAGCAAATTGCAAGCAATTGACCTAGGTTCTTTGCCACACTTTGCAAAAGCATCCCAGGATGTAAAGTACAGTGAGTCCCTGCCCCCCTCCTCACCTGTCTCTCTCTGCTCTTGTAGTGGAACTACACCCTGCTTTCCGCACTGCAGGAAGGTTTGCTCTGTCTGCTGGCCTGGGACATGAACTCTGGGAGTGAGAGGGTAGCTGTTCTGCCCTGGTGTCTGTTTCCCGTGGAAATGGAATCCAGAGAGGGTGCCTCTAAAATGGTCTCTGGCTCTGACATTTTTTTATTTCTTTTTTAAATCCTGGCAGAAGGGATTAGAGAGGGAGTCAAAAATCCATTAGTTTTTAATGTTTAAAAGGATGGGGAGTGGTGAGATGGAGCTGTTTTAAGTGCAAGCTCCCATGTCTGTCCCAGATTAACAGTTGAAATTAATCCCTTCTGTGCTCAAATTGGGCCTCCCTGGATCTCTGGGTTATGGGAAATGAAGCAGGCATTTGCAACGTGTGAAAGGGAAAAATGAACAGCAGGAAGGAAGAACCTTGTAATTATTATCTCAAAAGCGAAAACAGGCCTGACAGAGCCCATGCTCATATGAGCCTGCTGTGTGCTTGTAAGCACTGACGACGAACACAGGAGTGCCTGTTACTCACTCTTCTCTCCCTCATTTATTTCAATATTATACATATTATAAATATCTTCGAAGAGAGATTTATAAAGAACAAATGGTTGACATCATTCACTTGCCGTTGTTATTTTAATAAAACCACGTGCTGCTTTGCAACACCTAAGTCTTTTGATGACAGCTGCACTCAGAAACGAGTTGATTGGACCCTACCCTCCCAATTTTCTCCACTTCCTGAATTCCCACCATGCACTTTGCTTGCCCTTTCCCACTCCTCATTATTCCATTTATTACAGCATTCCTATCAATCTCAATTTCCTCCTTATTAAAGTCCATATATATGTCACACACAATGCCTAAATGGAAAGAAAATAAGGTATTTAAATCAGCACAGACCTCCCTCTTTGGTCAAGGTGGGAGACTCACTCTCTTTCTCCCATGTGACCTGTCTGAGGTCACAGTTCCAAAGGCTCCTCACATTTTTCGTGAAAGCTTCTCCCTCTCAGCTTCTTTCTCCATTGACTCCCTTCAATTTGCCACCTTATTCTATTGTCCAATTTTATAAACAGCCTGCTGCTTCAGAGAGCCAGGTTAGTTAAGCCCCTCCCCTCTCTCTTGGCCCCTCCCCTCCCCAGACCACGCCCCTGCCCCAAGCCCCTCCCCTCCCTCAGGTGGTGTAGAGTTCTCTCAGTCGCCTTCTCTCTCTCTCCAGGTGCGCGATGGCCTCTCGGATGGCACTGGCCTGGGGGTCTCCCCCCTCCTTGTCGAGATAGAGGGAGAAGTGAGCTATGCTCTGGTTCAGCAGACTCTCCGGGCTGTGGCCCCCGCCTCCCGCTCGCAGCAGCCTCTCGCTGGCCAGGGCCAGGTTCTTGTCCCAGTTGGAAGGGTAGTCCCTGTGGGTCTCCACTATCTCGCGGTACAGCTGTCAACACAGAGGAGAAGAAGAAGAAGAAGGCTGGTTATCACAGGAGCATTTCATACAGTACTTACACTGTCAGGGGGGGGCAAAATACCACAGGGAAGGAGAGTGTGCGCAGCCATATTGAACCATTCTGTAGACCAGCCCGTATGGGAACGTGGCAGTCAGAGTCTAACTTGCAGCAGCTGTAGACTCACAGAGTAGGAGAGCTCATAGAGGTGCGTTTTTCCACCTCCTGCACTGCTCTGTCGCTCCGCCAGGTCGAACAGGAAGAAGGCTGTCTTCATCCTGAAACACAGAAAGGGCTGAAGGATGAGAAATCTCTGACAGGAAGCTGGCTGAGCCAATCGGTGATGGACAGGGGAAGGGAAAAATACTGTTAGAAAATCGCCCCATTCCCAAAGTGCTTCAGTGGTTTTCAGCCGATGTCTCTTCCCGTCCAGCAAGGCCTCACCTGGCTTGCCACATCTCCTCGTTGGCCACCTTCTCCCAGGACTCTCGGGGAAAGCTGCGGACACGGAGAGAAACATGAGGGGCCGCAATGCCTGATGGGATAGCGGACAGGCTGTGCAACACTACAAACTGACCGCGGGAAGGAGACACAGTGCGGGAGAGCTGGAGACGACAACAGAGGGAATAAGTCAAAAGGAAAAAAGATGAATAGGGAAAAAGCAAGTGACAAAAGGTAGTAAGAACTGATTTTCATATTAAAAACGAAACGAGGACGAGGCTCTAAAATGCTCATTATCCTTTCCTTTTGGTAGACACAGTGAAAGCAGAAACAGGAGTACCTGACCCCTGTGTGAACCTGCATCATCGGTGCAGACTCACTGCTCACTTCCCCTACCTCTTGTACGGCTCTGTCCAGTTGTACAGGTTCCGGGTCCGTCTAGCCCACTCCTCAGGGTGGAAGGGGGTGCTGGAGGGCACCAGCTGGTCACACACCCCCCAGGGCCAACGAGAAAACGCCCTCTCCCAGCTGGGGTCCCCCTCTGGCAGCCCAATGCAGGCGAACACAGGCCTCCTGGACATCCACACACACAGGCCCTGAGAAACACTCGGACCAGTGCACTGTACTCTGCACCCTCACCGTTTTCAGCTGCGCTTAGCTCTTTTTCAGCTAGATAAGAAAATTAACATTGGTGGCCCTGGGAACTAATCGTGTTCTCATGCAAGGCTATTACTATAAATAGAATACATATGATATTAATTCTGACAGAAGGCACAGAATGCCTACGGGGTGCGCAAGGTAAATATTCATTCGCTTTACTGACATGAATCATTAAAACGACAAAAACCATAAAACCACAAATATTAAAAGCACAGCTTCCCCCTTTGAGGTGTTATTGTTCATCTAGTAAACACTGCCACCTGGTGGTCGGTCAGATATTGCACAGCAATTTAAATCAGCATGTACATAGACAGTTTTTACTTGAAGATTTTGTTTCCTGTTATTTTCCAGTTGTTCAATTTTACCCAGTGTACAGGTTAAATTTGAGTTTCTGTAGATTCATAAAAAAACTTAGTAGCAGCTGCTCAGTACAACTGATCAAATCTCCTACTTTATCTCTTGGCTGTCACATAACAAACTAAATCGGAGGACTCTGCCAAGCCACTGATGTCAGGAGGACGACATTCTGCACAGCCACAGCCTCTGCAGGGACCTCCTCTATACCACAATGCCACAGTGCCGGGAGGTAAGGTAGTTAGACACCTGTGGATGTCTGATACACATCAGGTGGAAAAGTCAGAGATCCTGAGCACGCCTTCCTTACACTGAAACTCCAACATTGGATGGCAGACGGACAAAACAACAAAGTTAATTAACTGACAAGGAGCTGGCAAGGAAGAGCAAGTGCCTCCTGTCAAACACCTCCTCGTATCCATTTTGGCAAGACAAAGGCAAGTGAAACCAGAACAGGTCAGCAATGGTGGCGATGATGGTTATTAATATTATTTTGAAGGGATTACAAAATATCTGCCAAAGGAACAGCCTGAGCCTAGTGGATTCTCAGCTTAGCAGCGAGAGATGCAAAATCTGATCTGCTGCTTATCTCAGCGGATCTGAGGTCGGCACAGTCCAAGATTTAGTAGCCCGGTTTGAAGAGGAATCAGAGTGCAGAACACTGCACTCCCGTCTCAATGGGTCTTAACGCTAGAGGAACTGGGAATCCCATACAGAATCACTTACTGGGGTTCATATTCAGAGAGACAATGAATACATAAATCAGAGTAACCTTTTTGCACATTAATTTAAACCCTTCCAAAACTGTTTGAGAATCTTACTTGAGTTCTTCACGGCGCTAGGCAAATAAAGCTCACCTCTTTTTTTTGATCTTGTAATTGCACACTGCTAATCCAGCCGAAAAGACAGCACTTGCGTGTTTCTGTTACAGCACAATCTTGGGTAGCAGGATTTTTTATCTATATAATACCCTAGTCAGGGTGGAATGCTTTATCGTGTGCTTTTCAGCACCAGAGCAGTTTAAGGAAAGAAATCTTAATGATATGGAGGAAAAGAAGTGTGAGGGTGTACTGTACACTGCGGCTTTTTTCTCCATATCCCACTTGGCACTGAGGGCAATCATTTTTCAATAAACTGAAGGGGCCATGCGGGTTTGTTAAATTCTCATTCTGATATACCTGAAGAAGACCCCACTGTCTTATTTTTCTTATATTTTTCTTGTCCCCTTCAGCGTGGAATAAAGCTTTACCTGTTCCTTTGCAGCCTGCGCATGCTGACGCAGCTCCCTACTTGACCTTGTTAATTTCCTCGTGCCTTGCAATATACGTGATGTAAATGAATTAAAATAAAAAGGGCAAAACTGAGGTTTAAAGATCAGGTCCTTATATTTGCGTGCCGAAAGAAACTAGCAGCTGTTTCTTTCGGCACGCAAAGCCTGTTCCAAAGCTCTGATTTCAACCTCCTTTCCAGCTGATCAGTCTGTCCTCAAGATGGGCCCAGTTCCCACCACATGTCTCTTCAGTTCTTCGCAGTCACAACCAACAGGGCTGCAAGTCTTTCCTCAGTTCTTCTCAGATTTGCTGTCTACTGTCTCTGATTATTAATCAGCTCCTACACAATACTCTGCATTTTGCTTTTTGACTACTGACAACTACAGTTCATGTTTTTTGATAACTGTTGAACGTGTTGTGAAACAACTGGACAAGTATACTCGTATCAGTCTGTGCCAAGGCCAGACTTCCAAAAGCAACAGCTACAGAAAGCAAACAAACTAAGGTCCTGTTATGCCCTGTGTACTGCTTCAGTCACACGTATCTGAACTGTTATTGTCTTTCATCAGCAGTTACATGAAGACTCCAGGTTTTAGAGGGCATGTACGGTGTACACTGCTTCTGTGCAGTTTCAAATCTAAAGAAAAATTCCATTTAAACTGTATTAAAATCAAAATAATGTAATTTCATACATTTTTATATTTATGTATGAATATATATATTTATATTTATGTATGGAAAATTATTTCAAAATATGTAATCAAACAAAAAACACATTTTAATTCAATTTAAATGTGTGCTAAGCAAGCTAAAGAGATGAGTTGATTTTCATTTACAGTATATTATAACTTCACATCCCCCTATTAATTACATTTGGTGTCAACTTATCCTACAAAACCCTCTAATTCATAATAATATATCAACACAATTCAACATACAAGTTCTGCAGCATTAACTTGAGACATACAACACGTTTATCCTTTGAAGAGGGAGGAAAAATCCCGATCAGACTGCGACGTCTTAGTGCTGAAAAGCCAGCTGGGGCTGCAGGAGCACTCACTGCGAATTGTGGGACAGGAACTGCTCCAGACTGAAGGTCTCGCCTCGCTCTGACAGGACGGGGTCCCACCACAGCCCAGGAAAGTGCACCCCTGGGAGGTGCCGGCCTAGTTTAGCCACGTACCAGCCATACGTCATCATCTGGGAGGACAAACGACACGCAGCCCAGTCACCCGCTGTCCTGCAGCGGAAGCACAGCTCCAGCGCCACGACCCGTTCATTAATCAATTCCTTACGCTTATACAGCGCTTTTCTGGACACTCCACTCAAACCGCTGTACAGGTAAATGGAGATCCCCTCCACCCCCACCAGTGTGCAGCCCCACCTGGATGATGCTCCAGTAAGCTCCCCACACACCAGCTCTCAGTGGGGAGGAGAGCAGAGTGATGAAGCCAGTTCATAGAGGGGGATTATTAGGAGGCCATGATTGGTAAGGGCCAATGGGAAATTTGGCCAGGACACCAGGGTTATACCCCTACTCTTTTCGAGAAACACCCTGGGATTTTTAATGACCACAGAGGGTCAGGACCTCGGTTTTCCATCTCATCCGAAGGACCGGCGCCTTTCGCCGTGCAAGAAGACGTGGAGAACTCGTCTCTTACTTCTCATCGTGGCTCTTTAGACGACGAACTGCGGAAGAAGACCGGTGACGAGGAGATCGGCGCAACCGCCTCCGCAAAAGGCATGAGGTCAGCAGGGCGTCGGCGACCCTGCCGCACTGACCTCCTGCTCGACGAGGCGCAGGTCCGGCCGCAGCCCGTGGCAGAAGTGCAGGTAGCGCAGGCTGTTCCCGGGCAGGTCCCCGCGGGTCAGCACGATGGAGCCGCTGGGGATGGACCTCAGCACGTTGCGGGCAAACCGGTCCACCACTGTGTTGTCCCTCTGATCGCACAGCCTGGAAGGGTTTAGAGCAAGCTTCCTCCTCTCACTCAATGCACAGCAACAGGCAGCGCATTTCTCCACACGCTGAGGACACTACCCTGCGTGACTCCTAACCCTATCATGGACTCAAAGCACTGTAAGCAGGGTTCTTGCTGTCTGCTGCAATCTCTCCAATTTCAGAACCCCTACTTTGGGAGCCTCTGTTCCTACTGGACTACAATCATGCACCCCACCTCACCCCACACTCCACAGCCACCCTGGGGTGGGTGTGTGAGGACAGAGGATTCAGGGGGTCGGAACCCAGGCAAGAGAGAGTGCGCTGGGGAGGGATTAAGACTTTATTACTGTGGGCCCGCTCGAGCTGGCCCGGCTGGATAATCTGTCCTCAGGGACAGTCCTTATCAAGACAGTCCGCAGCACCAAGAGCAGACTGTTTCCCAGATGAACTCAAACAGACACAAAAAAGTGTTGCAGTCAAGGTGTGTATTTTACTGCAACAACGCAGATACTGGTCCAACACACACCCTCACTGGAACACTGCATGCACTGACTTAGAGATGGCGTATGTGTGTGTCTCTGTGTGTGTGTGTACTGCATGCAGGCCTCCCTGGCAGTCCATCAGCTCTGAGCCCCTCAGTGGAAGAAACCCTGCTGAGATGCAGCGCGATTTGACTTTATAATCACTGTCAGCCGGGCGCAATGTGAACTGACAGCGCTGTCCAGGTTCTACACCTGATCAAAGGACCACTCTGATGTTTCATAAAGTACCTTGTTAGTGTAATCTGTTGACTCTGATCACTAACATTTGAAATCATGCATTAATGACTTCATTATTCTGGAGCCGGGCTTTTATTTAGTATGCACAAAGGAGCATGGAGTGCCAATGAGCCCAGCAGACTTTTGTAGGGCTTTGTCAAATATATATTTTAATCACCACTGAAGACAGTTCCCAGCTGAACAAAGTGAAGTACTAGCAGTATTGCTGATGGGCTTTTTTTGAATAGCAGTGCCTACACTCTTTCTTCCTGCCCTGGGAACAATGAAGAAATATTCAAGACACAGCAGGATTAACAACATAAATGCAAACTTGGTGCTTCAAGCACTTCTACCGTCGTTGAAAATCACCACAAGGGACAGACATTAACTTAACTGGTCTTTACATACTAAGGTTGCATCTTTGTTGAGACTTAGCACATTAATTTGAAGCACCAGCTTCCTGTGGAGTCTAAATTGCCTCCTGTGAACTGAATGGCTTGAGCTCCTCGCTCACAGCCGGTCTCCCCTCCGCTGGTTAAAGCCTGCTCACGCCCCTCGGCCCGCCGTTGCGAAGCTGCAGCGCTCACCTGTAGTTGCTCTGTGCCAGGTGTGCCAGCAGCCCTGCAGTGACAGCCCAGCCTGCAGCCCTCCACAGCGGCCCGCCGCCCTGCCGCTGCCCCAGTCCCGTGCAGGCTGCCGAGAGGCCCAGCCCCGCCAGCACACACAGCACTGCATCACTCTGCATCCAGAAGCGCTCCACCTGCACACACAACGCAACACAACTGGGCTCCCCTGAAGTCACACTGGGAAACATTCCCCTGTTTATTGCATTTTTGCACACTAGTTATACACTAATCAATAGACATTCAATGGCTATTTCACTATTCACACTTGCTTTAGAATTATTTTAGTGAGAACGTGCTTTTTACGCCATGTTTCAGCAGTGGATACCTTCTAAAAGCAATAGTTTGGCAACGTCCTTCTAAAATTCATCACAAATCCAGATTCTAAAGAACAGCAGCCAACTCTAATCAGCTGAATGGCCTGTTTCTGCTACAAAATGTTCTGATTTTGTGAATACAGAGGATCTCACTCCAGTGTCAATACTTACCACTCCAAGGAACAGAGGCCTGTTGATGTCCAGGTTGGCTCTCCAGGCAAAGAACAGGGAGTACAGGCACAGCATGGCAGCCAGGAGCCAGGTAATGGCACGGCGCCCCCTGCAGAGACACAAACAGCATGGCAGTTGTGAATGACAGCAGAGGACGGTGCCTGTGGCAAATGGCAACAGAACTCAGCACCTGCTCCAGATCCAGGAGCACAGTTAGGCAATTCATAACACTGGTTTTAAAAAAAATCCACCACACACAACCTGTGATACTGATATCCTTGATCTGTCTTTTCTCATTTTTGGAAGAGCTATGTCAAGACAGAGAAGATGTCAGGACTTGTGCATGTTTGTTGGGGTGTTTCTCTGTGTCTATGCACATACCTTTGTGAACTGCGTGGTCGTCTTCGCACACAGGAGGACCGGTGAAAGCACCCCGATTCTCGCTCAGAGAGGAAATGGAGTGCGCGCGCACGCGTGCATGTGCTTCTCTGTGCTGTATTCCCAGCAGCCCGGGCCCCCGGCCTCTCGGGACAAGCTGCTGTAAAAACTCCCCTAAACGGCTGTTAGAGTCTTGAAAGGAGTCCCTTTGATGCGGCTGCTATCTGCGCACATTAAAGCGCTCTGAATAAATTCTTCAATGAGCAGGGGCAAGGGGCTGGCAGTGCCCCGAGTGCACCCATCTTCCCCTGCGCAGCCTGCCCCCTGGCACCGCCAGCCTTTATCAGCACAGCCTCACAGACGCAGGCGCACACAGCTCCGCTAATGAATTACACCCCTGTGATCCGGTCCAGGGGTTACCGATTCAACACGCGCGGCTCCCCCCCAGCAACACTGTGGCTACAGACGCCCAGCCCCTGCTGACTGGGGCTCCAGTCTCCCCACAATCCTCCACCAGCTTCGCCAAGCAGACAGAGGCAGTGACGTCCTCCTCACCCAATCCCTTGGTCTCATTTGCCTTTCTTCTGTTTTTACAATATGTGATGTGGTGTTTAAGCGGTGTGGAGATTTTTAATATCCGGCTGCAGGAGGAGTCTCAGAACTCACACAGCACAGCTTACACTCTGCTTTAAATGTGCAATTTGTGACTGATTGAGAAGCTCACAGGTTCCACGAAAATACAAGAGATGGGGTGTAATGACTACATCATCCCTTTCCCAATTCAGTTCTACAACATTACAGTACATTCTTTTCATTTTGCCAAATGGGATCATTTTTTAAAGTAACACACTCTTTATTCTCTGATGATACCGGTCTTTGGAAATGATAAATACAGGACAATCATGCGTTTCCAGTAGGCAGAGGTGCTTTGTACAGGACTTCTGTCTTTTCCAGTGAGGGGCTCAACAGCCCATGTCTTACCTGTCCCAGGAGAGCAGAATCAAGCCCAACCCAGCCAGAACCAGGACTGGAGGAGAGAGGTCTTTCACACAGTGATCCAGTTGAGCCCTGCAACAGCACAGATACACTGAGAGGAACCCTGCACAACAGCAACTGTCTCCCTGTCATCACTGTCCATGTCCTCTCTCTGCACAGGGGTCTCTCACTCGGAATCGCAACCACAAGTTCCTTGGCCTCACTATACTGGTCAAAATATAGGAATTTCCTGCCTATAAGAAATCCCTGCTTGCAGGTGGGTCTGTATGTGTCTCTCTATTATTTCTAGCTTGGCTAGGGATGCATTTCTAGAGATATATGTTTGTCAAAAACCTCAGATGGAGAACTTAAGACCACAACCACACTGATACACTTGCTGAGTATCTGCCTTTTTTAATGTGGAAGCGCTCTTAAAATTAAACAGTAATGTTGTATTGAAAACAAACAAGACAGGACAAAAAAAGAGACAGAGAATGTGCATGTTAGTATTTTTGACCTGTGAATAAGTTGAAGGCTGTGGTTAGGGTTGGAGGGAGGTTTAGGATTGGGGTTGGGATTGGAGTTAGAGCCAGGGTTAGGTTTTAGGTCAGGAATGGATCAAGGTGGAGAGTTTAGAATTTGATGCTGGAGAGAGGGGCACATTAAACTGAGGTGGCCAAACAAGATCTCTACACAATGTTTTTAGAAATGAAAAATGAACTCACTCTAACATCCGAGCCATTCCCACTCGACTCTCTGTCTTGGCCTGTTGTCACACAAGCAGACAAAACACGGACAGCAGTGTCACAATCTTGAGCCACAGTTCGCACGTGCCTCCAAGCTACACCATATAGATCACCTGGAAGTAATACAGCTGCCCCCTTGATAGTTACATCACAGAACATCGGACTGCAGAGAAGGACTGCTCGTATCCCATACAGATAGCTGGGAAAGTAAACCTATACAGCAGGCCGTTTATTCCACAGAGCTGCACAAGCTGTGAAGCTAGGGTTAGGGACAGTGTGGGACGTAGTTCAGAGCGAAACTGCAGTTTCATTACCAGACCCATAAAGAGTGGTGAAGTACAGCAGGAAGCTGTGTCCAGTGTTTTGTCAATGATGGTGATTACCAGACTGAAGGTGCCATACTCCGCCCTCAGCAGGTGAGTGACCAGGCCAGACAGTGTGGTCTGGTCTCCCCAGCTCCAGCGTGCTCTATTCAGGGTTGAGGACAAGGGCAGGTAGAGGTAAGGCAGGAAGCCGACCAGGAAGCAAGTCCCCAGCAGCACCACAGTGCGCACTGACAGTTCCTACAAGAGACGCAGAGAGAAGCCATGACTTACAGCGCTCAGCTCCAGTGTCAATGCCCCGTGAACACAGCTTGTACTCATAAACACAGCCTCCAGATTCAGAACTGTTCGTTGAGGAACTCACGTTGTAAAGAAATGCCATTAATCACCCAAGATACAGTCATTTCAAACCAGGACTTTTTAAATTGTCATTAAAACAGCTTCATATATTTACAGTAAAATTAAACACATAAAATTACCAACCATGTGCAATTGTTCCATCTTAATTGTTGTCTTTATCACGCATGATTTATGGACATTAAATGCTCCACTGCAGGTGTGTGCAGGGCTCACCTGGTGTGTGTGAAGCCGATGGAGGACCCAGGGCACAATGACCACAACATACAGGACAAAGGTGTGCTGGTTACACAGGCCCAGGCCACAGCACAGCGCCCCCAGCTGGCCATACTGAAACACACACACATACACAGAGCAGATGAACAGAAGCCCCACCTGTCGATCACACTTCAGTGACTCCTGATCCTCAACTGAGAGGCAGAGCTGGGAACAGCTCCTTCATCTGCTCTCTCGTCAGAGTCCCCAGCCCAAATGGAAAAATCACACCCTGACCCAGTGTCTGTTATCTGAGACAGGCTTTGGCTTAAGGTGATCTCTGGCAGCTCTTGAGGCCAGAAGGATTTTTCCATTTTTGTGTTCTGCTTGAGCTCTCAGCGGTATACACCATGGGAAACATTTATACCATTGCGGAAATAGTTCCTTTTTTTATTTAACCCAGACTTCCAAATAATGAATTCAGACCAAAAGAGAACAGGCGAGTCAAACAAGAAGAAATAAGAAAACACCAGACCACACTTCTTTCCTCAAAATCGGAGCCGACCCCAGCTAGGAGAGGGATTTAGACATGTATTAAACCATTCGTAGGGAAGCTATAAAGGGGGAAGTATTAAAATAGAGTGATCTCCTGCACAACCTGAAGAGACAACACCCCAGCTCTGAGTGACAAGGCGGATGAGCCCGGGCGGTCTGTCCTTCGCCGGGCAGGATACCTTCCTCCTCTGGCCACAGGTCTCGGCTGAGCGGAAGCAGGCGGCCAGGGAGAAGAGCAGGCCGACGAAGAGGTTGTTGAGCGAGAAGACCTCGGCCACCATCGCCCACTGCCAGGCCAGCCTGGACAGAGCAAAGGCGCCCCCGGCCAACACTGCGCCGGGCCCCGCGTCATGGAGTCTGGGAACAGGCAGAGGGAGAGAGAGCAAAACCAGTGTCAGAGGACAGCACTGTTGCGATGAACCGCTTGGCAGAGCAGGAAAAAAGAACTGGATCTTCACACAGAGAGAGAGAGAGAGACACCGGGCTCTTTCATCTACACTGATGACCCGAGAACCTCGCAGGTCTGGATCAAAATGCTCTCGCAACCCATTCACCCAAGTCAATGCACAAAGTGGAAAAGATACAGATTTTTGCAATAGATAAAAAGCTGACATCCCAGCCTCGGACACCTCCCAGTAGGATCTGCACAGATCCAGGACAAGCAGGGTCTTGAAATAAAAACAAATTGATTGAGCACCCCTCTCCGTGATGACAGGGCAACAGGCTCGGGGGCACCCGGGGCTGAACCCCTGCACAATCAATTAAAGTTTATAGATCAAATGCACAACAATACAGCAGCATGCAGCAGTAATTGCTGGCAATGAAATGTGTTTTCTGTGAGGTCACCAGCGGGGACAAAACGCTAAAAACCACAAAGTTCCAGAATAAGGTTACAAATCTCCAGCTGGACGAAGCTCCAGCTAGGATCTCCAGCGTCTTCTCTGCCAGCCAGCGGTCACACGCCCCTCCAGAACGGGCCAGGAGCACACCGCCGCCGCCGCCGCAGACCTCCTTAGCAATTTAAATGTCTCCGGAAAAGAAAAAGTTTCTTTGCCCCCCTCTCTTCGTCTCTTTTTCGGTAATTGAGGCGAACTTGGGATAATCTGTCATACACTAAAACCCCACCACTTATTACAGAGAGGGAGAGAGAGATGACAAATAAGAAAAAGGAGAGGGGAAAAAGGAAAAGAGAGGGAGACGAAGGTGGGGGGGGGGGAGGGAGGAGGAGAGGAGTGGAGGATGGAAGATGGAAATGAAGGCAAAAAAAGTGGGAGAAAAAAAGCCCAGTCCCCAGCACGCTGGCTCTGAAATTTGAGCAGGCTTGACAATTAGGAAAGTCAGGCAGTATGGCCCTCTCCTCCATTGTGTGAAGTGGCTTAGAGTCTTCATCAGCCTATCAGCTAACTGACAGGCAGAGAGCTGCTCTATTCAAAGCTGCAGATACAAGCTGCAGGCCAAACGGCTGCCAGGTCCCTTATGACCCCACAATCCCCTGCCGGTGACAGCTTCAAGCTCCATAGCAAATTAGGCGCTCTCACATTACAATCGCAGAAGACAGATTCCATTAACGGTATCTGAAATTGAGTAGAGAGCAGGACTGTTATCAGACCTGACTCATAAGCACCGCTATTAATCACAGGCATGATACCATTTATACATTTCCAGCTCTCTGCCTGCCGCTGTGATATTCTGCCACAAAAGGCCTGATGAGACTTAGGAAAGGGAACAATAGAGCTTTCTGGGGAAAGCGCAGTAAATCAGGAAAAGAAAAAAAAAAACCCTCTCGCTGACTTCTTCTTTTTTTTTTAGCCGCTCTCCTTCTTCTCGTCTCGTCTCATGTGCGCAGACAGGAACGAGGGACAGGGAAATGCGGGGGGGCTGCTCCCCAGTCGCTGTACTGTTTGGGGATTTTGTTGTCAGTCAGGCGCAGGGAGTAGGGGACTTCAGATGAGGTGCCCTGGCCCCCCGCACCCTCAGTTCTACCCCCCTGTGTGGCAATTAACCCGCAGCGCCCGGGCCCGTATTCTGAGCTGGGGCGGGGGGCCGGGGGGGTTTGACTCTCACAGAGCCTCCGTCGTCTTCTACACTGCTGCTTTACAAACCCCTTGCTCGCTCTCCCGTTTCAACGGTACAGGAGATTTCTTTTTTTTTTTCTCCCTGTTGCAGGCTGACATCTCTCTAAGGCTGCGCTGTCACAAGCGTTTACAACACGGCCATCACTGCTGACACCACAAGCCCCAGTCAGGCCGTTCACCCACCCCCCCCTGCACCCCAGAACTCCCCGATACTTCACTCTCTTCCATTATGCGGATGTATTTCTCAGTTAGAAAATGTGTTACAAAATAGACATTTTGCGAAAGTCATTCCGATTCGAGCAACAGGCCACGGGAAGAGAACAGAATTCTCCACATCTGCTTCAGTGGATCTAAACCAAAGCGGCACCATTGGGAATCTTCTCTCGCCACAATGCGGCAGGTTTATAGCCGAAATTCTGCCAGAGCAGAGAGGTCGGATACAGGTTGGAAGACCAGGGCGGGTTCTGCAGCAGAGACACATTAATTTCCGTGCACTGCCGAGAAAATGAAATGCAGAAATATTCTTATGAGGTCAATGCCAGAACGCTGTCTCTGGGCACACAATGGCTAGCCATTCTGCAGTGCAGAGTGTTTCCCAGCAGCACCGGGAGAGGCCACGTCCATGCCTGTCGTTGGACTGCCCCTGTCCCCTGCGAGCTCTCCTCAAGGTCACCCATGAGGAAAGCACCACCAGGACCAGGGAGACATTTTAAAGTGTCAGTGATCAAAACGTTCATTGCTGAACCTGGCAGTTTGTTTGGGGGCCCTTTCCAGGCAATATGATCATGATACTGAGGGTTCACAGTGCCGCCTGGGTGACACCTCCATTCCCAGAGACGAGTCCCCTGGACAGGGAGGACAAGTTCGCCTTACTAAAGGTGCACAGAGAAGACGTGAACTGCCCTTAATCATGACCCGGCTGGCTGACGTGCCCACTGACAAGCACTGACTTAGGTGTCTGAAAACAATACTGTGAAAAAGACTTTTTAACTAGAACAACCAGTGTTTTTAACCAAGCCCCCGGCCTGCAGGCGACACCTGTGCACACTGGTGGAGACGCCATACAGACAGCCACTAAGGAGAGCACAGGAAACATTCCCCACAATACAGACCTAGTACTACACTCAGAGCTCCTTTCCCCCACCAGCAGGAGGCGCTGTAACAAAAACTAAAGGGCACATTGTAACTCAAAGTTATATGAGGTACACTCTGGTACACTGTGGTAAATGACAAAGAGACTGTCATGCATCACATTTTCACGACCCCAAAAAAGTCTAGAACTACAGTGATATTTACACAAAGAGTTACAAGAGTTTTCCAGGTTCTCCAATAAAAATATTATTTCAAGAACCCTTTGCGTACTGCTGCTCTATGTTAGTAACTCTTAAAGGGCAAAACATTTTTTTCCTTTCTCACTCACCTATAAAGCAGCAACACCCCCTGTGACAGGGACTCAAGACACCACAGTATGAGTGAGCAATCACTAGAACACAGCATAACCACGCCCTCTGCTCCATCTGCTTCATCGCTGTCAAGCTCCCCTCTCAATACCATACAGCACTGACCCGGCCCACGACCAGCCACCTGCCATCATCTCAGGAATGTCTTCACAAGTAACCAGCACTCACAGGCAACAAGGGAGCAGAATAGCAAGAGATACCTTAACAAAACGGTCCATATCAAAAATAATTTTCCCCCGAGTGCGACTGAATTCCTAATCAGCCAGGGCTGTTTGGGGAACTGAGGGTACTTCTACCTGCATACAATATCTGACACCTAGTATTGAGTTAAAAGACTGCAAATTCTTCACAGTGTGGCACTGATAGATGAAGATGAAGCAGTGCTGCAATGTTTCTTGGGGAATGGTGTGCAGAAGACTTTGTGTCTTTGTTATTGTTCATCCCACTTCTCCAACTTAGCTTTTGGTGAGGGTTTCACTGTGTGTTAATTTTTTTGGTTTGTTTTGCTAGTTTATATGCAAAATAATTAATTGCAAAATCAGTCTTTTAGGTCTAAATTTCACTTTAATGTTAAAAAAACTCACGAGAGAATTAAAAAAAACTGGTACCGAACAGAATAAGTCGATATATGCTTCTTTTGCAAATATAACACCCAGAACACAATACTGCAATTTGTTTTCAAATGCGCTGTTAATCTGCATTTTGCCCATGTTTACATTATGTTTTGAATTGAATAATTTAGACAGCACCCAGACAGACCCACAGAGCTGTACTAAATTACAGCATAATGTTGTTCTATCCAATCGGTTAAATGGATCTCGGACTGCATTAATTGCGGTGGCAACAACTGTGTTGCTAGCAGTGTCATTAAGAAGAGCTTGAAAAGTAAGAATGTAATATTCATGGCTAGCGCGGAATGGAGACAATTGCTGGCCTACGGGCAGGAATATTAACTGGTACAGTACACTGCCGAACTCCATACAGTAATGAGGATATAATATGTTCATTAAACATCTGTTACATGGCATTAAAGGGATTGCTCCTCAGGGCAGCATTGGTCATGCTGCAAGGTTACAGTACAGCAGCTGAGCTCAACTTTATACTCCCAGCAGTCTCTGCAGCCATAGGGACATTTTCTAATGGGCATGCTGTTTGCCCCGACAAATTTTCAAGTAGCGTACACCTTCTTCCTGACAACAAAAAAAAACCCCACACACCTCCTTTATCCTGCCTTTCCTTAACACCACTGCACACTTACTCGGAATACACTACAGCGCTATGAATTTGATGCTCCTATTGGAGGGAAACAATACAGCTGCCCATGTTTATGAAACACTGTCACCTCACACAACACTGGCACAGTTAATAAATTAGGCCTGCATTAAGCTTGCTTTGCCTGGGGGGCAGGTGCAAGACGAGTCTCAGTGTGCCAGAATCACTGTGCCAGTACCACAGAGGCAGAAATGTGCACTAGGTGCAGTCATTCATATCAAGTGCATTTCCTCGGCTGTGGGGAAAGGGCATAAAGCGATACATGCCCTCTGCTGCTGCACCGAAGAAGCTTGTCAGCTCCTGCTGCACCAGGCCAGGCAGGGCGAGACACACAGACCTGCTCGCCCGTACCAAACCATCCTTCAGGAACCCTGAGCGCTGAAGAAAAGAGTAAGATTAGACAGACTAAAAAAGCAGAGAAACCGCTCAGTCTGAGCTCAGCATGGCTCATTTGACAGCGAAGGGGAAAGAGGAGAAACGAAACAATGGAAAACAGACGGAATTTAGCAGAATTCCACTGCACACTGGCAGCCACCAGCCAGGCTGCGTT